AAGGAGTAAAGGAACGGCAAGTAAATTCTGCAAAGGGATTCTGGAACCGGTTGCTTTTCTCTAATAAGGTAAATCGTAGGAATACCTATTATGAGAGAAATATATAAGCTGTCATTTGAGTCATCCTCTGAAAAGACTACCTGCCTGACTCTGAGGCTTCAACACTTCTGAATCAGAGACCCAGAACAAGCATGAAGAAATCTATCTACTTGTTCCAGGTCAGTGCCTTACAGTGTAATAGAGCAAAGTATCAGCATTTGCCAGGCAGCTAGCATTATTAGAAAAGAATGGCAATGGTAGCTCTATATTTCTCTGATGAGATGTTTATTTTACCATTTGGGGAGTAGTGAGCAGATCGTAGGAAATGGATGTCAGTTTTGGGCATTTTCTGGTCCAGTGACACATGTGAGCGAAAATGTCCTCAGAATCATCTATATATCTTGGACTTTTAGGCAGTCGTTTACTGGAAAAACAGTCATAGAATTTAATATTTTTGCAAAAAGCTCAACTATATTTATTTTTTCTCTATTGCTCCATCTGTCACAGGTTGAACAATTGCTCGGTCACAGGTTGAACAATTTTCACTCAATACACATGCACTGGAGACTGAAAATTAAAGTGAAAACACTACAATGCCTTTGAAAAGGGGCCACTAGTATTTTATGCATCTGGAGTCTTTCCTGATTTATTCTGATTTATTACTTGTAAGATGTAATAACAATTTCATGGTTTTACTGAGGATGTTGATACTACTGCACCCTGCATGATTAGTAAATTTAAAGTGATGACATGGCAAAACATTAATACATGCAAAAGTGTATAAATGTTTGATTAACCAGAAAAAGGACAGAAAATGGACTTTCCTTTCTACACTCACAACATTTAGATAATATACCAATAAAACTATAATATTGTATTTATGCAAAGTTCATAAAACACATATATTTAAGGAGAAAAACCTCCCACTGTTAAAAGGTATGTATGCCTATATGTATCATAGTCCATACAAACACCTCAATTAGTTATAGAACATCATTAAAAAGTCTAAATGCAGCCAAAAAAAAAAAAAAAAATCAGCACAAGGGACATATCTTACAGACCGTTAGATGTGTCCCTTGTGCTGTTGCCTTTTATTTTAGCTGAAGTCCTCCTCAATCCATGCCCCTATACCCAGTAACCGCAATCTTCCAGTGTGGCAGGGATTAATAGAACTCGGGGACTGTTACAGGCTCCCATGAAGAAAGGCCAACAAGGCACGGCCTTTCCACCCAGCTCCTCCATTCATAGAAGCTGTACTACAGCTTCTATGAATGAAAAACAAGTTATGAATGAAGAAGGCAGATCTATCAACTATCTACCTATTCTCTTGATGAGAACCTGAGACAGCTCCTTAGTTCTATCAACCCCCGTCATAGTGGAAAATTGTGGCAGCAGGGGTGAAGGGGTATGGACTAGAAAGATTTCACCTAAAAGAAGAGGCATGAGCACAAGGGACATACAGTATCCTACTATTTATTTATTTCAGGTACTTTTATTGTGCTGTCAATTTACGCAGCGCTTTACACACATATATATTGTACATTCACATCAGTCCCTAACCCTCAAGGGGCACAAATCTAAGGTCCCTAACTCACATTCATACATACACATACTAGGGACAATTTAGACAGGAGCCAATTAACCTACCAGCATGTCTTTGGAGGGTTGGAGGAAACCGGAGTACCCGGAGGAAACCCGCGCAGGCACAGGTAGAACATGCAAACTCCAGGCAGGTGGCATGTTGGGATTTCGAACCAACGACCCTAGTACTGCCAGGCTGACAGTAAGTTATGGCCTTGTGCTGATTTTTATTTCTTTTTTTTTGGCTGCACCTAGGCTTTGATACTAATGTTAAACCAGCCACATCTCTTTATATTACAATCTGTTTATTCAAAAATGTCAAATAAACAGATCAAAAAAATAAGCAAACAGTTCCCTTTGTATGAGGAGCCAACTGACAATTTGAAATTGACACGGGCCAGATTATCACCATGGAAATAGAAATGTTTGCATTCCTGTGTAAAGAAATAAGCATCAGTAGTATTCTTGAGGTCTGTGGGATGTTCAGGTAAAGGCAAGTGAGCAAAAATGACATGCAATATATACTGTATGTTATACAGTATGTCTTAGAATACTTGCAAAAAGCCTGCAGTAGGAAAATGAGAATGATAGACCAATTCCATATATATATAAAATAGAAGGGATAAAGAAGTAAAGATGGGAAAGCAACCTATAAATAAAAGAAGAGAAAACAGAAGTCAGAGAAGGTGCCTCCAAAGTCTTGCTAGTCCATCTCAAGATAAAAAGGTTCCATGTTTTATCAAATTTAGTTTTGGCATTATTGAGAGTACACAAAATGTTGGCGTTAATCATGTTCCAGTTAATGTTTTTTTTTTAAGTAATCAAAGACCACCACCGATTGGTTCCAACACTGCAATTGCAATTCTGGCCACCAGAATTATTTTTGAGACCAATCTTCGAAAGTGTTAAGGAAATGTAATATCCATTATCTAATTTCTGAAACAGCTACTTCTGAAGCTCTAGATATACAGTATTCACCCACATCACCAAGTGGAATTAATTAAAACATGTGATCCAAAACCTAGTTACATTAGGGCACTGCCACCAAGCAGGAAACTTGGTGCTTACCAGGCAACATTGTCGTAAGCAGTAAAAGGATGCTTTTGGGCACATTTTGGTGATCCTACTGGGGACCATGTACCATCATTTTATTTATTATTATTATTACAGTATTTATAAAGCGCCAAGTTCACTCAGCGCTAATTAGATCAACCAGGGTCATATTAATGGATATTTTTAATAAATTGTCTTTCTGGTAAATCAAATGTTATATTAAGATCATGCTCCCATTGTTCCATATAAGGTAGTGTGTGGGTTGGATCCACTAAACGATTATAAAGTATATAAATTCGGCCCTGTGTAAAATCTCAGGTTTTACAAGAAAGCTCAAGTAATGTCAACGATAATGGGCAGGTGGCATGTTTCAGCTCAGTTTTTAGAAAAATGTGATTAGGTGGTACTGAAACATTTCAGAGGAGGGTAATTGTAGGTTATGTTTGTAGTAGTTCAGACTTTGGATGTTGCTTCCAGATAAAAAGTCACCATTCTATTTAAGGCCTTTGTTTTCCCACCATCTAAATAAATGCGAGCATAGCCCTAGAGAAAATTCAGGATTATTCAGTAAGGGAACAAGAGGAACATGGGGGGGGAGGGGGGGTTGGTGTTTTTTCCTAGCTCTCTGCCTATCCCAAATAGTCAACGTGTAGGATAAAGTGGGACACATGTTAGGGGGCACAGTCTACTAGGGAGTTTTGTCATAGAAGTTAGTGCTAACCAGGGGCGGACTGAGAACTCATGGGGCCCCCGGGCAATAGGGGATCATGGGGCCCCTGTGTCCTTGCCCAAACTCAAAAAAGCCTATGAAAAAGGTACCAGGGGCATCTCATGGGGCCCCCTACTGACCCCGGGCCCTCAGGCAGTGCCCGAGTTTCTAAATGGTCAGTCCGCCCCTGGTGCTAACTGAGCTATTTGCGCTGCTTGGTAATAAATCAAGAGCCTCATTGCGATTTAGGTGCATATAATGTTAATTTGTTGATTGGCGATTGCTCATTTCTCCATATTTGATTATTTAATTTTGTCACATATTGAGCCTCACCATCTTTATTTTTCACATTATAGTTGTATGTGGGTTACTTATTGATTTTAGTGCTGCTTCTTGTTTTATATCAATATAATGTAACTCACACACATACTGTATTTCCTCTTCCACGTACCATATACATCTAATTTTTTACTACACGGGTCTGTGAAAAGTTCAAAAGCAAAGGAACCCTTATGTTAGAACCCAAACTTGAAAATCCCCATAGGGAGCTGTAGCGGATATTATTGTCAATGCAACAAAATGGCATTTATACGTAGTTGTCAGGGGGAGAGCCTGGATTGGTCTTATTGTATGATATATGTTGAAAGCACATAATACCTTGCAAGTGGACTGCTTTTACTTGCAGAACGATACCTTATAACAGTATAATAATGCATGATATTATATGTTCACAGATTTATGGGTGTTTTTATTGCAGATACACAACATAATCAAAGGCCATCATAAGTGGGATTTCCCAAAAAGGCTTAACTTATTATCAGCATACCCTGGGGTCTTAAAGGAGCAAACCTGTTCTATAAAATGTGTAGACTTTCATTTTGTTTAAGAGATGGGGTTGATTTAACTTAGTTATTAATGTTATTAATTTGAAAGTCATAGTGGTCTTGTATGCACTATAATATGTATATGTGTGCATTCTTTCAATAGCGGTAGGTTTATCTCCTGGAATATATGCGTGTTTTTTAATTTACTATAAGTAAACTATTATATTTTTATAGTTCCGTTTTTAGTTAGTTTTCGTGATTAAGACCAGCAAAGGGATAGCACCATAACATTATAAACAGGGTCTCCTTTTCTTTAGAATGTGATATCGATGTGTAATATGAATTATATGGCCTTATTCCTCACATTTTTATCACGGTACACATCCATATACATTTCACTTGCGGTTTTGTTCAGTGTAAAGTGATATCATTGGGTAAAAGCTACCATCTTGTGTAATCTACTTGTTTTACTATCACAATGTGACAGAGAAAAGGATTGATAGTGGTGTGAATTACAACTGCACTTGATAAGCACATACACCAATTGTACCCTAATGGGAGCATTTGTCATGAATTTCATTATTCTCCTCCAAAGCTTTGTACTGCCAGTGAAAAGAGCCATAATAATGTGAAATAATTCTTTTAATCTTCACTACAGACACTGTCTTTCATTATACCTATTGAAGTCCTGTCTGAAATGATATTAATTCTTTATAAGCTGTTACATTGCTGTGATATGAATGCATTGTGTATTCTTGTATAATCCTGATTTGCCGGCGTGATATTTCCTACAGACAGATGAACAAGCTATGCTGGAGGACTCGCTTGTCGCTTTGTTAGATTTGGAAAAGGTCATGTTTCACTTCAGACAAGCTGAACAAGGACCACAAGTGGCAAGTAAGTATTTACACCAGACTTCAGTCTTCAGGAAAAGGATCAGAACTTTTTGGTGAAAAATATATTGACATTTCTTAGCATACCTACTGAATAACCTTTTTTTATTACAGAAATCTTTTTCTGTATCTGGTTGCTTTTCTAGCTAAATTTCTGTATGTACCATTATCCTCATCTTTTGAATAGATCTTTAGAATTAATCTGGGCATATAAAAAAAATTCAGGCTAACGAGCTCACTGGTTCCAACATGACCTTTTTGTCTGAGCCTGTTCCAGTCTTGCTTAGAGGCATTAGAGGTTTAGAAGGAGGCTGCAAAACCGAGAACCATGTTGCAGGCTGCTCCACCCCAAAGTCTTGTGAGAAGCTCCCTAAATCTGGCTTCACTGGATATTTAAAAAAACTCAGAGTTAAATGAATGGCCTGCTTTAGCATTCTTGTAGTTGCAGTGTTTCCAGGACAGCATTAGTGGTTCATTGATTTTATTTAACATAACATATCATGCAATATATTATAATGCAACGTACTGGCAATTCTGAGACTCACTGTCACATCATCTGACTCATTTAGCAAATCAAGATGAATTCTTAAACCAAACAATGTGTTTGGCAGCTTCAATTACATACCTAGTAGCCTCCCTGGCGGTATTCCCGAGTGTAGCTCGGGGTAAAGTTTCAGTACCACAAGCGGTAATCCCGAGCTACACTCGGGCTTACCATGCGGCGCTGCTCTGCGATCCCTCTGTCACTTACCTTGTCCTGCGCTCCCGCGATGTCCCTCCTGCAGTGTCCCCGGCAATGTAATCCGGCTGATGCCGGCATCTTTCATCTGGGTTCCGTCCTCTGCGAGCGTCGGGACGTACAGGGGATGGAACCAGCGGGAAATTTGAAAATGACAAAAAGTGACATTCACAAAAATCACTAAAATCACATAGTAAAACATTACTGTACCAAACCATTTCACATACATTTTGTCCCTAGTGCTTTGTCCTGTGCCCTGCCTAGATTTTTACTGTTCTTTCTACCTGGAAACCGAGAAATGTCCATGGCGTTCAAAAAGCGTCCCTTTAGGTCAAAAGCGGTTTTAGACCAGCTAGAGAACAGCGATAGTAAATTAGAACTACTTGCAGAATTGAGTGATAATGATTCGTGGGGAAATTCGTCATGAGACACTGAAAACGATTTTGCGACTTTGCTCAGTGATATGCGAACTTGGCGCTGTATTTCAAATATCAGTGTTTTTGGTTTGATTATATTATTGAATTAAATTTATTATTATTATATTATAATTTTTTATGATTATTTTTATTAAATTATAATTTATGATTTCGTGTTTCAAGTTTTATCCTACCCGGGATGTTTACTAGACTCTTCTTCGGACAGATTTCAGTGAGTTATTCCTAAGAATTACAGGCCTACAATATAAAACGCCAAATTTCCATGCAAAATAATGGTACCGCTTTCAGCACCACAAATCTGAAATAATCATACCGCCAGGGAGGTTAACATAGATAAAACATATAGTACACATTTCGTAGTATATTGCATTTATGTTAAAACAGTGGTCTCCAAACTGCTGCTTACGTGCCAGATGCAGCCCCTTGCTTGCCTTTATCCAGCCCCTGGGGCACTGTTCCTTGCACTGATACAAGGTAATATTCCTCTCACTGACACCAACTATGAGGTAGCATTTCTTTCACTGACACCAACAATGGGGTACTATTTCTTCCACAGACTCCAAAGATGGAGTGCTATTCCTTCAACTGACACCAGTGATGGGGCACTACTCCTTCCATTGATATAAAGGATTGAGCATTATTCCTCCCCACTGACACCAATGATGGGATACTATTCCTTCCATGAATACCAGCGATGGGGCATTATTCATCCCACTGGCACTAATCAAGGGATATAACTCCTTCTACTGATTTAAACAATTTGGCACTATTCTTTCTACTGACACCAACAATGGGGCAGTATTCCTTCCACTAATGACAATGATGTGGCACTATTCCTCCTCCTACTGACCACAGGTGCTATCTAATTTGTTTTTACTCCTACTGTCCACCAAGCCTAAGACATTGTCTAATCTCACTGATCCTGGGACAGTTTCTACTCCCGAGGGTCACAGTCTGGGCCCCCTAAAATCTGAAGGTCAGTAAACTGTCTCTTTGGTTAAAAAGTTTGGAGACCCTCATCTTAAAATATAGATCATATTCTATAGCATATGCCATAGGTATCAACAGTCTTGCGAACCATTAGCAACTTCAGTCAATAGTCAAAAGCTTTGTCATATCCAGAGTGATTACACTATCCCAATGATCACACACATTTTCCTTCCTTATTCTGCTTTTCAAAAAATGCCTCTACTGCTCCTTCTTCCTGCTAGTATCATATGAGGATCCACTCATGAAACACACTCTGCTTGTTTTTACCATGAACTGGTGTCTGAATCCATCAATCTATGGAATATGTTGGCAACACATTGAATCATACAATCACACCAAATACCATACAATTTGTTGTGACTGTATGAATCAATAAAAAGTAGATTTATTAAAGTGTTTTTTTTTAATAAACATTGGCATGATGGAGGCATGTTTCCTTTATATTGTATTTAATGCTGTTCATTAGCCATTTTAGCTCCAACAAGACTTTATATAGTGTGTGATTGAAATAAGCATATTGATAAACCAAACGTGCACAGCAAACCCTATTGGACCTCCAGCCTCAGGAGGGGTCAAGACAGTCTGGGTTTATAACCAATGCACAATTCTAAAATCCATATGGCAATAATGGGCGTAATGGGCACTTCACCTCTTTTACAAAATTCTGCTGCCTTTAGATACCAGAGAGCTGCTAATAGAGGCTAACAGAACTTGCAAAACATGCATCACACTGCACTACAATGTAAATGCTTTGCTGTAGAATAAATCAGTAGAGGTTTTAAACTTCCTTAGACAAAAGCATCAACACAATTCAAAGTGAACACTGTGTAATATATCCCATATTCAAATGTACAGATGCTCACCAGGAGATGAAGCTAGACTTCTTACAGCTCCATAAGTCCTTAAAAATGTAGCACAGATATGCTGTGAAAATTCTCAGGTTCTGATTATTGAAAAATAGAACAAAGAAATCAGAGTAACAACTGGTGTTTGTGGCTGGAGTTTTGATAATTACTGTATATCCAGAATGTTTTGGGGCCCCACGCACAGACCTTTATTAGAGCATTTGAAGAAGGAGTGCTTGTAAAACGCCAAATCATATTTTTGTTAATACTTCCAAAAAAACAAAAACAAATATGAGATCTTCACACTACAAAATCACTGTGACCAGAGAATCAGAACTTTCTGTTCAAAGATATTTGTATCCTGTTGAATGAAAAGGCAGCATTAAAGAAATCTCCTTCAGCTCTTCTGTCCTTGGAAATGCCATTTTTTTTTAATGTGAGAGCATCGTTTGTATAAAGGGTTTTTATTACCTGTCTTGTTTCCATAATTGTTTTTGCTATGGGGAAACAAAGCACAGCATGCATGCTATGTCAACTGAAATGCTGTTCTAATTGCCTTCAGTTTATAGTCTTCTAAAATGCAATGCTTCTCCTGTGGGATACCAGATTTGGGTCTTTGCTTGCTAAGCCCAATGTCTTAGAGGTGGCCAAGGTAAAATTAATTTCTGAAGTACAATCAGTAATGCACAAAACAGCAAATCAGTTTTCCATGAAGGTTATTTATATGTTTTACTGGTTTTAGTCACAACTGTGTCTTCTGTCCTGTTGTCTTCCATGGTCACTATAGTGTTGTCCCTGTGATTTCTATGCTCCTAGTATTAACCATACCTGTTGTGAAGGTAGAATGTAGGTTGACTTCCTTCTAAAATTGCTAGTTGCCTGGCCTGACTTAAATTCTTATGAGTCTGAGGCCAGAAACAGCATGCAGGAAATACATATCAGACAAAAAAACTGAGAATTCCTGTTCAGTATATACTTGTTCCAGGTCAAGGACCCCTAAGGGTTGACAAGAAAGCATCAACATGACAGTCAAACAACTAGCATTTCATAACATGGAACTAGCTTTTGCTGGAACATGATTTGGCATTGCTGGAATATTGGAAACTGCAATTCAGTGTTTCTAAATATAAAATAATGCAACTAGGGACAAAGAATCCCTTAATAGAGTACAGTACTGGGGATACAGTGTTTGTCAGCACTACAGAGGTAAAAGATTTGGGAGTACTTTTTTCAGATGATTGCAAAATGGGCAACAATGTGGTCAGATTGTGGGAAAACGCAAACAGAATTCTAGGATGTATCACTTGAGGGGTCACATGGAGAAGGAAGAAGGTCCTGATTCCCCTATATAGATCTTTAGTTAGACCTTATTTAGAATACTGTGTCCATTATCTGGAGACCTCACTTACAAAAAGATATTGATAATATACAACTAGTCCCTAGCTGAGTAGAAAAATGGTTAAAGGTCAGGAGATAAAACAAATCAGGAGAGACTTCAGGAAGTTAAAATGTACAGTCTGGATGAAAGTAGGGGAAGGAGAGATAAGACTGAAACCTTTAACTACATCAAGGGGGTGGAAAAGGTTCAGGAGGGCAGTATTTTAAATATGAATCCAAGATCAAGAACATGGGGACATGACCTCAAAGTAGCAGGAGGGAAGTTCAAATGTAATGCTAGACACTTCTACAGGTACATTGTAATTATATCCATAGTATTTATTCATTTTAAATCCTTGTATTCAATATCAAGATCAGTAGATGAAAACCAAATTAGTAGAATGAGAGGCTACAGCAACTTTTCATCTTCATCCCTCAGATGTACCTATCACCTATCAGGCAGAAGGAAGTCGCCAGGCTTTGAAAATTTACTTCTACGTAGACGAGTATCACTTTGAACATTTACCACAACGCCTGAAGAATGGAGGCGGATTCAAAATTCACCCTGTCCTATTTTCTCAAGGTGATTACTTTTTTTTTAACATTTTCTTAAGAAAAGAAAAATTGGGTACTTTTCCTCTGAATACTGGATTTCCAGGAATTTCTGTATCCTTGTAGCAAAGAATTAACAATTTGAATTTTTCAGATTTGAGGTTTTAATTCAATTATTTGTGATAAAGTGTTTTAGTGCGGACATTTAATCTATTATGGTACCTAATAAACATGGTCCATTCAATTTTCCGATGGATGCTGCTACAATGTGGAAGTCATTTTGTAACCTTCAAATGGGAGTGGCAGTATTTATTTCACTGTTTTTTTTTAGCATGTCCATTGCTACCAGTTACAGCATGCTTATGTCAACAAATATGTCTAATTCATTCATGGAGTAATCATATAAAGCTGAATTCCAGGCAGATTAAAAAAAAATAAAACATAACTACAAATTGACAAGGTTTTTAAAACATTAGCATACATTGGTAAGACTAAATACCTAGGCATCAGACAAAATATACCCTTGAAGTGCCCCAAATCCCCCACCCACACACACCACAAGGGTAAAGATTTGTTAAGTCTGGGGACGGGGAGCTAGGTGTAATATTACCTTATCTGACACTCTGGCAGGCTTCCACCACACTGTGGGACAGGTCCCAGAAGCCTGTTCTAAGGTGCTCTGGCTGGCAATGTGACTTCACCAGATATAATGCAGGACCAACATTCCTACATTATGTGTGAAAAAGGCAAGGGACTGCTCTCCACCCAGAGCATAGGAGTGAAGGCGTGAGCACTGGAAGAGTCAGGAATATGGTAAGTATTCCACCGTATTCCTCTACCTCCTAGATTTCATTGCAATAGTATTTTTTGTTTTAATCCCAGAATTCAGCTTTAAACTAATCTCCTTTACATATACAGTGCAGGAATACAAACTAGCTACATAAGAATTAATGGGATTTAAACTTAAAATTAATTTTCATTAAGTAAAATGCAAATGTAGCATACCCTTTCTGTAGACCTGTAATCAATCTACTCAGAGAATGAATTGTCCATATTAAAATCCTCTAATAAAGTATCATCTAATATTAGTATATGTATATATATATATATATATATATATATATATATATATAAAAAATGAAAATATGTACTATTTAGATCTTTCATTCTACTGGAAGAAAGATCAGCCAATGTATGCTTAGCTAATTGTCTGTGACGCAACGATCTGTCCTACATGTAATCCAATTTCTGTCCTGTTACTGTCACTTCTTCTTAATGGTCCATGCACTTCATGGCTGCTCACCTATAGTTTGTTATATCACACAGAGATGATAAAATCAGGACAGCGTGAGGCTGTAGAGTGGTTTAAGCTACAAAGGCAAAAAAATGAAAGTAATATCTCTTCCTATTTCAGCCCTGGAGAGAGCATGGATGGCTATTATTACAAGGATAATGTTTCTATAGAGGAATTTCAAGCTCAGATTAATGCTGCTTCACTTGAGAAAGTTAAACAGTATAATCAGAAACTAAGGTATGTTCTTCAATTACTTTTACTTATCTCCCACTATTTTGATGTTGTATATTTCTGTTTCCCAGAGCTGATTAGAAAAAAAAAAATCTTTCAGCAGCACTGTGTTGAGGACGTAGTTTCTTTTTAAAGAGAAACTGTAATGGTTTTGAGATGTGCTGTTATTATATCTGCGTGTGTATATATATATGTGTGTATATATATATATATATATATATATATTCATATATATATATATAATCTTTGTTTTAGTAATAAATATTTCTATATTTTAAATACCTGACAAATGATTCCTAGAGCGAAAGAGACAACATCACAGCAGGCAATGATTGGTTATTGCTTTGTGGCACAGCTGGTCAGATTTAAAGTCACTGCTTTGTTGGCTCTTTCCAGTGTAACTGAAAGAGCCCCACCTACTGGCTTAAAAGAAAATCGCAACATAATAATATGCAATATTTCATGAATATTTCATACACATTTCTTATAGTCCTGACTATAATAAAGAAATCATATGCTTTCCCTTTATTTATTGTGTTTACAGATGTGATCTGGGTGCACATGCTTTACAATATAAATGAGATGTTACGTGGCAAGATTGCCATTTCTGTCTTTATATTGGCACTTTCACTGACCACTGTTTTGCTAAAAATTGGAATAAATGCTTCCCACCCACAATCTTCTTCTAAGTGATTCCCCATGCTAAGGGAGTTTAAAGCTAGATACACACAATAAGAAAATTGAAAGAAAAATTCAGTACGAAAAATGATCGGACAAATATCTGATTGTTAGTAAAATGCTTTCGACAGCCAATTCAAACTGTTCAGACAAAAAAAACGAAGGTGCAAATGAAATAATTTTTATTGTACGTCAACACAACATCCGATTTCTGCTCAATGTGTACAGTAATTGTACAGAAATAATTGAATAGAAATAAATGCCCATGATCAGAAGCAAAATTTGACCCGGAAGAAGGTGGCAACAAACATAGAAATAGTACACAAGACAGAACGTTTACCTTTGTCATTCAAAAATTTTTGTATGAGTTAATACCACTGTCAGTTACGTCATGGTATACACCTATGTAGAAAATCAGACAATAGTTTGTCTGATTTTCTCATAGTACAGGTGAAACTAAAAAAATTAGAATATCGAGCAAATTTATTTCAGTAATGCAACTTTAAAGGTGAAACTAATATATGAGATAGGCTCATTACATGCAAAGCAAGATAGTTCAAGCCGTGATTTGTCATAATTGTGATGATTATGGCTTAGAGCTCGTGCAAACCCCAAATCAACAATCTCAGAAAATTAGAATATTGTGAAAAGGTGCAATATTCTCGGCTCAAAGTGTCCCACTCTAATCAGCTAATTAAGCCATAACACCTGCAAAGGGTTCCTGAGCCTTTAAATGGTCTCTCAGTCTGGTTCAGTAGGAATCACAATAATGGAAAAGACTGCTGACCTGACAGTTGTGCAGAAAACCATCATTGACACCCTCCATAAAGGAGGGAAAGCCTCAAAAGGTAATTGCAAAAGAAGTTGGATGTTCCCAAAGTGCTGTATCAAAGCACATTAATAGAAAGTTATGTGGAAGGAAAAAGTGTGGAAGAAAAAGGTGCACAAGCAGCAGGGATGACCGCAGCCTGGAGAGGATTGTCAGGAAAAGGCCATTCAAAAGTGTTGGGGACTTTCACAAGGAGTGGACTGAGGCTGGAGTCAGTGCATCAAGAGCCACCACACACAGACGGATCCTGGACATGGGCTTCAAATGTCGTATTCCTCTTGTCAAGCCGCTCCTGAACAACAAACATCAGAAGCGTCTTACCTGGGCTAAAGAAAAACAGACCTGGTCTGTTGCTCAGTGGTCCAAAGTCCTCTTTTCTGATGAGAGCAACTTTTGCATCTCATTTGGAAACCAAGGACCCAGAGTATGGAGGAAGAATGGAGAGGCACACACTGCAAGATGCTTGAAGTCTAGTGTGAAGTTTCCACAGTCTGTGTTGATTTGGGGAGCCATGTCATCTGCTGGTGTTGGTCCACTGTGCTTCATTAAGTCCAGGGTCAACGCAGCCGTCTACCATGAGATTTTGGAGCACTTCATGCTTCCTTCCGCAGACAAGCTTTATGGGGATGCTGACTTCATTTTCCAGCAGAACTTGGCACCTGCCCACACTGCCAAAAGCACCAAAACCTGGTTCAATGACCGTGGATTTACTGTGCTTGATTGGCCAGCAAACTCGCATGCCCTGAACCCTATAGAGAATCTATGGGGCATTGCCAAGAGAAAGATTAGAGACATGAGACCGAACAATGCAGAAGAGCTGAAGGCCGCTATTGAAGCATCCAGGTTTTCCATAACACCTCAGCAGTGCCACAGGCTGATAGCTTCCATGCAATGTTGCATTGAGGCAGTAATTGCTGCAAAAGGGGCCCAAACCAAGTACTGAGTATATATGCATGCTTATACTTTTCAAAAGTCCGATATTGTTCTATGTACAATCCTTTTTTTATTGATTGCATGTAATATTCTAATTTTCTGAGATAGTGGATTTGGGGTTTTCATGAGCTGTAAACCATAATCATCACAATTATGACAAATCACGGCTTGAACTATCTTGCTTTGCATGTAATGAGTCTATCTCATATATTAGTTTCACCTTTTAAGTTGCATTACTGAAATAAATGAACTTTTGCACGATATTCTAATTTTTTGAGTTTCACCTGTATGTACCCCAATGACATGTGGCAAATGACACTGTGTATGGCTGCTAGCTATCAGACTGGGCTGTTGCTAACAGTTTCATACCCTCCTTATGTTCAGGGACTAATCAGAGTTCCTGATCATCTGATCAATATATCAGCTATGATAGGTGATCACATGCAAGCTGCAGACTTCACTGCGAAAATAAAATCACTCAGCCTACCACTTGCAAGCAGTGTTTACATGCAGGCTGGAGATTTATTCATGAAACATAAACCACTACAGCCTAAAGATGGAAGTGTGCCCCTGTTTATTACTATAACTGTCATATTCAATTCCAGTTTGGTAACAAAAAAAAAGTTCTCTTTTTATTTACATTTTTGTCCATTTGTCCTTTAAGTCTTCGGTCACATCAAATCCGACTTTGAAATCATGCAACTTCACTTGAATTCGCACAATTTCAAAGCTGGATGTCAGTCTGACTTCAGGTGCGACTTGCAAGACATCTGTGTGACTTTATGCACAGATATCTATGTAAGTTGCACCTGGACTTGCAGAAAGTAGTGCATGAAGTACATTTGAAATCAGTGCAGCTCTGATGGAGTCGGAATCACACTGATATGGCCGCTTCCATTGTGGACAATAGGGTGCGACTTGTCATGTGATTTGAAACTATCAAACCACATGACAAGTCACATGTGTGACCGGGGACTAATGAAAACCAATCAGGGTTTTTATTAAAGCAATGTACTAAATTAAATTATTGTATATCCTTACAAATTGTAAAAATTATTAAAGCAGAAAAATTAGGGTCAATAGGGGATGGTCTCTTAAAATTTCACCATAATTCATCTGAAAATGTAGCTGTGTGTTTTTAATCACAGCAATAAAGCATGCATCCATGTTCCATCCATAACATCCAGAGCGATCAAGCTCTGAATGAGCATTGTGTAGTATTTGTGGTTTTCACAGGATAGAAGGACAGTATAGCTGTGTACAGGGCACAAGGGCCATCACCGCCTGACCATGTCTTTGCTCATTGTGAGTGCAGAGATAAGAGTGAGGGAGAGGTTGCCAGTCTATGTGCACATGAGTGGCCTGTTGAAGAAGACACTTTGGATTGTTTCATCGTTTCCTGTTTTAAGTCCAAAGTACAAAAAAAATGTAAATTGCGGCCAGGGATTCTATTGCTAAACTAAAAGAATTGCACAGGAGGGGATTTTCACAAGTCACTACATAGTGATTTCTAAAATAGAAGTCAGTCTCTAGCTTATCCAGAAAACTCTCTTTAAAGGTGGATTTTCAACCTGTTTTAATATAATATTTTCCGTTAGTATCATAATGTGCAGGCAGTTGCAGATATATTTTAAATGGCAGAGATTTTTAATATAGTTGTTTCTGTGAATTATATTCAATTACTTTGTCGCAGAAAACCATCTCTGTGTTTCACTGCGTAAATCATATTTTTTGCCATTGAAGGGACCACTAAGCGCTATGCAAGGCAAAATACTCCTATGCGTACTGCTGACTGTAGCGTGTTTACAATAATTATTATACGCAAGAGCATAATGAAAATTAGACACAGCCTCAGCCTTTCTGTCCAATGCATTTCATTAGCTAGGCTTAAAAAAAATCAAAGCCTTCAAATGGAAATTTTCCCTCCTGTGACTGAGGATCTACTGAAAGTGACGTCTGTTTCCTTCACTTTCAAATAGTCCCCATGAGATCCTTTAAATGCATGTCAAGGATGTTGCTCTTTTGATTAGCTAAACGGTCTTGAGACAAATGAATATCCACTGAGTTGGTGAAAAACAATACACATGATTGTTTAAATGAAAAGCCTGCTTGGAAGAAAAATAATTTGCAAAATGACTTATTAAAATAATCCTTAATGCACTCATAATGAAATTATTTTGTGCACATGGACAGTTCCTTTCGATAAAGGGCAGCATACACAAATCGATAGATGCCAATGCCTATGAATTTATTCTGGTAATATGGATATAAATATTTGTATCAGAGAAATCACATGGTTTAATATGTCACTCTAGAATAAGGATGCACATGCATGCATAGATTTCCCTAATCAGATCAGTCTTAGCACTGTTTGTAAAAATTTGGCAATATACAAGTTAATTGATATTAATTCTTGAATTTTAGAAGTAGACATTACTGCTTCTAAATTTATTAGAAAATGCTGGAAAATCTCTGAAAACGTTAAAGTGTTACTAAACCCACAACAGAAAACAAGTCTGTATATGCTGTAAAGCATGCTTGTTATACTCACTGAGGAACTTAAGGG